CCCCAAAACCCCAAAACCCCAAAACCCCAAAACCCCAAAACCCCAAAACCCCTACTTTATTCAAAATTATTGATTCATTAATAATTTTTCATTGATAAATTTCATCAATCATAATGGGTTGATCAGGATCCCACACATTGTTTGTGAACCAGATTAAAGGCACGGACGTCCTGCCAGACCAGGCTAAAGGACAAATTTTCAATTCAAATCTGACAAATGAAGTTATAAACTTTAATATTAGATTATTGAAACTCCATATGACCCAACTTAGGGTAAAGAAGCAATGCTTTCTCAAGTTCACATTTAGTAAGTATTTTTAAATTATTTTGTAGAAGAAAAGAATACAGAAATTTATAGTACTCAGACTAGGACTACCAATCTGAACGAGAAGAGTCCTATTTTTGACCTGAACTGAGAGTTTGAGCACAATTCCACTCTAGAAGATCTTGAGAAAGGGCATCTCGAAATATGCTTGTACCCTCTCAATGATCATAATGAGAAGGAACCTATCTCTGTAGTGATGATTGATTTTCTAGCTTTGGCATTTGGGCCATCTCATCACTCCATAAAGTTCTTCACTAAAAATAAGAGAAATTGTATTGGTATCTTACAGTACAATATTCATTTTGAGCAAGTCTGTAAGACAAAAATTTCACTAAAGACAATGCAAATAAAAGTTCTCTCTATCAAGAAAGAGCTACCTATCAGTTGTAGCTTCAAGTTAATCAAGCCTGACACTAAGTATGACAGTTCGATGTCTGGCTCCAAGATTGGGAAATATGACACTTGTAAAAAGAGGACACAAGTTGATTTCAACTTCATGGCACATAACTCTGGAGGTCCTACTCTTTCAACAGTATCTACTATGGAAGATCTCATGGCATCATCACTCCAAGTACTAGTCTGGAAAGATAGCAGAACAATGAAAGGGAATGAAGGAATCAGAAGCGTTATGACTAAGAACCTTAGTTCAGCTCTAGACCTTAATTCAGTAGATATTCACTTTGGGAATAGCTACTCTAGTTCTTCTGATGAAAATTCGTCAGGAGAAGGATCTGCAAACTCTTCAGAAGAAGAGTTGAAAAGTGAAGTAGCAGATGAACCTTCTAGCGAAATGGCAACTTCACAAGAAGGTTCAGAAGACGATGCTAGCCAGGGATCAGATGATGATGTCTCCGAGGGTAGAGATACAGTGAGCTCTGATCATGGTGAGAGGTACGAGTTACTAGGAGAAACTCATATCGAATTTGCAGCTATCCTCAAAAATATAATCCAATTTGTAGACAGACTTGGAAAGGGAGTATTGGCTGAAGATAGTGGAACTATCAGTATTGGCCAAACAAGGAGAATAGAAATTACCGTAGATGATCTCAAATGTAATAAATGGGATATAAATAAAGAGGACCTTTGGTATTTCGGTCGTAAAATCGGTGAAATTAGTCTCAAAATTGAGGCTAATAATCTCCCATATGTAAGGCAACTTCCTGCTGGAGTATTAACTGAAAAAGGTGTCAGAGCAGCTTCAGTAAGGCATGTCCAGGAGTTTGCATCAGACGGAGCTGCTAAAAAGCATCTCCCTGAAACGATGAGAGATGCACTTGATTATCTTGCTGATTTTAAAAAGAGAGATTGTAAGAAAGGGGGCAATGAAAGAGTCCCATTATCGAGAATGGAAACTATTTGCAAGGAAGTGATCACTTGCTTAAAGCATACTACGAAAACCTCCATCGTATACGATGAATATGTCAGTGTAGCTGCAGAAATGAAAGCTCAAGAAATACTCATCAACTTGGCCGGCCACTGTTTAACTTACGTTGACTTTGTCGACCCTAGGTTAAAAGGAAAATATTTCGAGATTATAAGTCTAGTTTTCCATAGAGGAGAACTTGATTTGAATCAGATTGGAATTTTGAGATCAGAAGGAAAAGATAATAATAGCAAGATTATAAAAGAGAAGAAAAAGCTAATGCCGAGCTACCAATTTTTAATATACGAAGCTCTCAACTTCAGTATCGACAAGCTCACCAGAAAGGCAGTTGATTTCTACAGAAGAGATTGCATTGTGTTTTGAATTGCTATTTCATATTTTAAGATTCCTGAATTTAGAAAATCATTCCTTGATGCTATCAGCATGAAGCCCATCCCTGAAATTGAAGAACTGAGAAGTATTGATATAAACCGTGAAAATGACGATAATGCTCATAAGGCTTACATCGATGAGTTCTTCAATTGGAAGAAATACTTCTATGATAAGATTCCTGAATCTCCACAAAAGAAAAAGAACATGGAAATCATTGCTAAGATCCTAGCTGAGAAGAGATGGGAGGAAAAACTTGGAAAACGAGGTGTTGCCTTCTTTCTGATAGCTGCTCGGTGGGCAGAATATGCCAAGACTATTGCTGTTGATGAAAAAATAGATTGGTTCGATATCCCAGGGTACTCAATTATTCTCAAAGCTGTTCTCACTGAGTTCAAAGAAAGGAAGATATCCGAATACCCAGATGCCTTAGTTGATGCTACTTGAGCTTTAATAGCAGATGAGAAGGTTCTAAGAGCGTTCATTGAAATTATTTTTGAGAAGACAAATATTCATATACCATCTAATGTAAACAGAACCTTGGATATTGTGGAAAAATGGTTCCACATCATTGCCCATGATGAGAAGAGATTCCCTGCAAATTTTGATGATAACTTCTTCTACAAAGCTATTGATATGCTGATAAATTATGAACATGCTGTGTCAACACCAAAATGATTATGGCTAATGTACAAGACATTCCATATTTTCCCTCTTCATATGCAAAAGAGATTGGCTGAGATGCTCTTCATCAAAAAGTTCAACAAGCTGTTCTTCAGTTGGTCTTGGAACATCAGAACTGTGTATTACAAGCTATACCTTTATCAGCTGCAACATGTTTTTGGTAAAGGGCTTGAAAATGACACTCCAGACGAGTCGCAATCTAAAAGAGTCAAGAGAAGTAAATCTAGCGCCAACTTTAGATTCGTAAAGTTGGAACTAATCACAAAAAACATGACTGGAAACAAAACCACAAACAAACAATCTCTGTACGAAGATGAAAACAAAAGAATCAAGGAACTAGTCCAGATAGCTCATAGCAGACAGCTGATTATTGATGAGTACCTGAAAGAATACCAGGCTGAAGAAAAACTTGATTATAGAGAATATGTAGATGATACCTCTGATGAAGAAGACAGTGAGAATGACACTATCCATGAGTCTAAAATTGCTCACTTGATCAAAGAAATCCCAGACAAATATAAGCACTATGTTAATGACTCTATCAAGGACTTCCTAGAAGAACAAAAGCTCTATGATAAATGGGAAAAAGGAGAAAAAGATGAGGAGCAAGATGATGGCCTTCCAGAAATCGAACTCCAAGCTGTCCTTGATGAGTCAGAAAATCCAGATGTCGACCTTGATGGCAACGACGGATGGTAGTTTCCAATAATTCATATACTAAGAGTTCAATACTAAAATTATTTAAAGGGGTTTTGGGGTTTTGGGGTTTTGGGGTTTTGGGG